CTGGGCCTCGGTTTCCCCGCATCTGTGAGATGGGAACATTGAGTTGGGAGAAGGCCCAGGGACTCCAAGATGATGAGAGGCGGAGAAGGCCCCTTGATACATGTGGACGTGAGTGAGGGGGTGAGGGCGGTGGCTGAGCCAGGCCAGCGTTCCAGCACACCCTGCTACTTCCCTACTTCCATCGCCTCCCCTCCCGCCCCCTGCCCTCTCCGCCCCACCTCCTCCTTTTGCCCCGCCTCTGTCTCTCTGCCCATTTTGGCTTCTAGCTTTGGTTCTTTCTCTCCCTGCTCTGTCGTCTCAAAGCCATCCTGCTCCAGCCCGGACAACCTCCCCACCTCTCTCATGAGGGCGGGCCGGGCCCCAGGCGGGGGTCACCGAGGACTCTGGGACAACACTGACTCAGACCCCTGTCCAGGAGCGGGTGTAGACCGTGCCCACACTGCCAGCTGGCATGGCCCAGGCCAGCCAGGTCGACTCAACCCGCATGGTTGAGGCAGGCTGTCGACCCAGCCCTTGGCAAACTAGGTGGCCACCTTGGCACTGGGAGAGAGACAGAGGGCCCTGCTCACACAAAGATTATACTACAGTGGGAGAGGTCGGCACTCAAAAGATAAGACACAGATAAATCGTCGCAACTGAACTGAGGAGGGCACAAAGCAGAGAGCCGGGGAGGGTTCGGGACCGGAGCCTCCCGATGGTCAAGGTCGGACAGGGCCTTTCCCTCCTGGTGGGGCAGAGGGTGGCCCAGCCACACACTGAGGGTACACTGGCCCTCCACCCCCACCCCCTGCACCCCCCTGGGCCTAGGACTCTCAGCTTCCACTGCAAAACTTTGAAGGAAAGAGACCTCTTCGGAGGGCGGGGGGGGGTGCTGTCCTGGCTTCTGTACCTGTGTGCCCACGTGTCATGGAGCGGACTGAGCCTGAAGAGTCTCATTCAAAGCTTTGGGGTTCTGTTCTCCCACAGTCGCTGATGGGGCCCCAGGAAGTATCTAGGCCTTGGAGTCTGTCTCAGGTTCTAACAGGCTGGCACCCCGTTTCTCCCCGGCCCGGCCCACGTGGTGGGGAGGCCCGGGGGTGAGTGTAAAGGGATCCTGCTCAGTGTGGCCCCTGCCACATCTTCACGATCCCCCTGCCTCCGGGGCTCTGCTCAGGCCGTGACGGTCAGATGCGCCTGGGTTCAAACCCCAGCTCCCAGCTGACCTGCTAGGTGACCCCGGGCACATTACTTTGCTCTTCTGAGCCATGGTTAACTCGTTTATGAAATGGGGGTGATCATCCTGCCTACCTCGGGATTGTGGAGAGGATTTGATGGAGAGTGCGTGTAAAGCGCTTGGCCAGTAGATGATGGCTGTTGTTACAGTTCTCATTACTGTTATGATTACTGTCTCTTTTTGCCCGGATTCCTCCACCAGCTTCCTGATAATTAACCTATTTGGCAGGTCTCGTTCCTACGCCTGCCCCGGCCCCACATTACTCTCTTCACAACAGCCAGCGTGATTATGGTAAAACGAAATTACAGCCGGTCCTCCCTCTGCCCAGGAAGGGAGACTTGGGCTCAGAGAAAACACCTAAACTCTTGCCTCCAGGGCCCTGTGTGACCTGCCCATCTCCTCCCACACTGGCCTCCTGGTTCTCCCAACACCAAGAGCTGTTTCTGGGACCTGACAGGTGAGGCCCCACCCCAGGGCCTTTGCACTTGCTGTTCCCGCCCCCTGCACTACTCTCCCCAGGCAGCGCTCACTCTCACATTTCCTTCATGTTCCCCCTGACAATCCCGGATAGGAATGCCGCCCTCCCAGCTCTGCTCCCCTCCCACAGCCCTCATCACTGCTGACTTGCTCAGTGTTTCACAGCAAGTGCCCAGTAAATACTGCTTGAATGAATGCACCCGCACTGCAAGGTCACTATAAGAAAAAGAGAGAAGAGAGATAAGGACTACTTTTAAAAAATTCCCAGCATACTCCCTCTGAGCCACTCCTTAGTACTCTGAAACAACAGGGTACTCTGCACGTGCAGTTCCCTCTGCCTAGGACCTTCTCCCCCACTCCGCCCCTGACTCATTTCACTGATGGCCACATCCCCCATCAGTGTCTCCCAGGTCCAGGAGCATGTGGCACTCCGTATGTGCTGAAAGTAGGCCAGGGCAGGAGAGCCACGCAGGAGATGCGTTCTGATATATTTGATTTTATACCTGTTACATATATTTGAGGATTTTTAAAAAAAAAATTTAAATCCAAGTGAGTCAACACAGTGTGATAATGTTTTCAGGAATAGAATTTTGTGATTTTACACTTAATATTCTACTTTTCATTTAAAAACTATTTAAATATCTGATCCGGCTGGAATTCCTTTTTCAGGCGTCAGGAATAGGAAGTAAGAAAGAGATCTAGCTTTATTTCTTTTTCCCAAAGGAGTACCGTAGCAAGTCAGGTTTTCTGACTGGTTCTATGGAAAACCACAGGCGTGAATGACAGGACAGCTTGCTGAACTCTCGTTATTTTAATAGCTTTTCAGAGGATACAAGTAACCATCTTTCTTTAGCAAATCCACCTCCTCCCTTTAATTATTGACTTCTTCCTCTTTATTAGAAATATCGTTTATTGCCTCCCCTATATCCTTTGTTTATTTTACACTACCTTCTGCGGTCAAGGCCTAGAGCACTGAATCAACACCGCACCGCCGACCGTCGACTGTTTCTGTCCGTTTCTCCTGGCGTGTCTGAGACTCTGGGGGAATGTTACTCAGGATACAGACGTTTGCTACTGTTTTGACTCCGCTATGGAGTGCGGTACCTATCAATATGAAATGACTCAGCGGCTTAATTTATACCCTTGGCATCAAATCCCATATTAAGGCTCTTTGTTTTCTCTCTCTCTCTCTCTTTCTCCCTCCACTCATCCATCTCTTTGCATTTCTCTGGAAGGTGTTTGCTCCCGAGTTTACTCGTAACTTGTCAATGCCTCTTTAAGGTGTATTTCAACAACTAATGTTTGGTTTTGGTTTTTGATCAAATCCCCGTTAGGGCAAGACCTGAGCTTCTGAGTTGGGACACTCAGAATAAAGGAGATAAATGTTAGTTTCTGGCTACTATAACCAGTCTGATATATCCTTGAACATCTATGTCTGTCCGCTTGGCCCGTGTTTTGCTATGTATAATGTGAGTAGCTTAAACAACGTGAAAGCTTACTTACAATGTAAACGACACTGAACAAACAAAATAGTTCAGTGGCAGGCAGAACAGGACTGGTTCTGCAGCTTTGTGCCACAAAGTCCTGAAGTCTAGTCTCCCTCTAGCCCCCACACCATCCCTCTTGGCGCAAAACGGCTGCTGGAGTTCTGGGCATCACACCCGAATTCCAGACAGCAGGATGGAGGAAGAGCGGGAAGGTACACCCCCTCATCTTTAAGGAGACTTCTCAAAGTCCTCACAGCCTCATCGGTCTGGCCTCGATTAGATAATACACATGACTGGAAGTATACTCTTGTAGCTCTTTGTCTTTTAATTTCTAACGTTCATTTATTTTTGAGAGAGAGACAGAGTGTGAGCAGGGGAGGGGCAGAGAGAGAGGGAGACCCAGAATCCGAAGCAGGCTCCAGGCTCGGAGCTGTGCTTCGAGCTCGAACCCACGGACCGTGAGATCATGACCTGAGCCGAAGTCGGATGCTCAACCCACTGAGCCACCCAGGCGCCCCTGTACTCTTGTAGCTTGGTGGCTGTTTGCCCAACCGAAAATCTGGTCTCTGTAACAACAAAAGAAGGAAGGAAGAGGGACTCAGGGGAGGCAGCAGCCATTTGCCTTTGGAGTATCCTGCAACCTCTCCCTGTTTGTCTTTCCATATCGGTTCACCGATCGTAGACAGAATTCTGCCTGAGTTGGTGTAGGGCAGCTTTGTCGCAGTGAGATCCTGCCCGTCCTGGACCACATTCTGGTCTCTGGTGGGAGTGAGCGGCCGAGAAGCTGGGCACAACAGACCTGTGAGAGAGGTCCTCTCCAGGCGACAGCTGCCTGGAGCTTGTCTCCGTGGGTCCTCTCGGCTTGCCTCGAGCCAGGCCTGTTCCAGGCTGTTAGGCTGGCCTCAACAGGCGAGAGGCCAGAACTTAAGCCACCTGCCTCAGGCGTCCAGAAAGGAGGTGGCGGGGTGAGACGGAAAGCAGGTCGGACTGCCCTCTGCTCCAGGATTGGCTTCCCTCCGTGGAGGAAGGAAGAAGAGAGTTCATCTGGGGCCCGAGAGTCAGATCTGTGTGTGGGAACCCGGAAAGGAGCCGCTGAGGTGTGGGGAATTTCCCCGGGTGAGGCATGGCCACAGAGATGCTTCTGCCCCTTCTAGAAGAACAAGAAAGACTGACATGTGAAGAGGGAGGGACTGAGGGATCAGGCCTGGGTTCCCATGGGGGTTAGGAGGCCAAGTGCTGCAGGGGACGAGCTCCAAATCCCACCTCCCCGGACCCCGCCCATCCGCAAAAGGAGGTGACTGGCCCAGTCAACATTTCTCTCCGAAATGGTGCCTATGCCCTTACTGGGCCCCAGGCACTGTTTAAGACGCAGTAACTCATTAACATATTTGCATCTCATTCCAAAGATGAGGTCAGGACGGTCACTGTCCTCGATTCCCTTTTTTTTTCTTTTCTCTTTTTCTTTTCTTTCCTTTTTCTTTGAAGAGGGTGCTTGGTTTGTTGTTTGCTTGCTTTGATGCAATAGCTGTGCGATTCAATGTGTCAAACTTCTCTCTGGCGGTCTCTGGAATGACGAGCCACTGTTAGGGAAGCTTTTCCCCTCTGGAAAGGTTAGCCATCAAAGAATGCGTCCGTTTTCCTATCACGAAGAGCCAACTTGTTCAGGAGAAGGGGAAAGATCAGGAAACACCTGGGCTCCACGGCACTGTCTCGTCACCGATGGCGACCCTGACGCCTCGCTCACCTGATGTTTTTCTCTGGCAGCCCCGCCGCAGGCCCATCCGGGAGGTGGCGGCTTCGTTCGGCACGGGGCGGACATCGCCATGCCCCTCCTGATACACCTGCTGGTCTGTACCTTCGGGCTGGGCTCCTGGGTGGCCATCAACGGGCTCTGGGTCGAGCTGCCCCTGCTGGTGACGGAGCTGCCCGAGGGGTGGTATCTCCCCTCCTACCTCACGGTGATCATCCAGCTGGCCAACATCGGCCCCCTCCTGGTCACCCTGCTCCATCACTTCCAGCCTGGCTGCCTCTCGGAGGTGCCCATCATCTTTACCGTGCTGGGCGTGGGCACCGTCACCTGTACCCTCTTCGCCTTCCTCTGGAATGTCACTCCCTGGGTGCTGGACGGCCCCCACAGCATCGCCTTCATGGTCCTCACCTTCTTCCTGGCCCTGGTGGACTGCACCTCGTCGGTCACCTTCCTGCCCTTCATGAGCCGGCTGCCCGCCCACTACCTCACCACCTTCTTCGTGGGCGAAGGGCTCAGCGGCCTCCTGCCTGCGCTGGTGGCTCTAGCCCAAGGCTCGGGTCTCACTACCTGTGTCAATGTCACTAAGCCGTTAGAAACCACCCCAAGCGCCGAGACCACCAGGAAGACTGTCTTCCCCCAGGTACCCGACATTTCCCATGGCCGCGCTCTGTGACTGATCACAGACCGGGCCGCGCGGGGGGGCTCGTGCTTCCTAGATGCTGGGTAGACCGCTGTCCTTGACCCGGCTGCGCTCTCGCATCACCTGCCCCGGGGGAGCTCACTTTCAGAGCGTTTTGCGTTTCCAGCTTGCAAAATTGGGACTGTGAACGTGTATTTCCTCAAAATTCCCCGGGTGATGCTAAGGTACGGCCAGGGCCAAGAACCGTAGGCTTTAGCCACGGCTTCGTGTCGTTTCACATGTCAGACTTTGTTTCCCCCTGGGTCTTAGACACCTCACACGCACCCGGTATTGTCCAAACCACAGCAGTTCATCACCGGGCGCAGACCAGTGGCCCCAGGCGGCCGTATCCTGCAAGCGTTTGACTTTGACTGTTTGACCTGGTTGAAGACATTTAAACGTTTGAAGTGCCCCACGCGTAAATCTAGATGTCCATAGGTTATCTCTTGAAAAGCGATTGGCTGTGGGGCGCCAGGCGGGCTCAGTCGGTAGGGCACGCGACTCCTGATCTCCGGGTTGTGAGTTCGAGCCCCACGTTGGGCCTGGAGAGGACTTGAAAGCTTTAAAAGAAAAAGCGAGAGAGGGATTGGGCCACACCAGGCCACCTTCCCACAGGGCGACTTTGGGTGACGCTGCCCCTGCTCAGAACACATCTGTGGCTGGCAGCCCTTGGCAGGCGGTAGTGTGGGAAAAGGTGGAGCTCCTAAGTCAGAAAGAATCAAGTGGACTCACGTGGACTGGTTTTGTCACGCACTCCCTGTGGCCCTCGGGTTAGACAGACCGTTCTAACCCAGGCAAAGGGCTGGTCCCCAGGGAGCCGTCAGACCACGTGAGCATTTATTATCATTACCTTAGGAGTTATGTGTTATGTCATTCATCCCTTATTAACAACGCATGCTATTTATTGTACATTATTATTAACATTGTCGTTACCTGTGCCCTGACATCCCCCGCGGATCCGGCTGAGCCTTGTTGTGTCTTTCCCCAGGGAGCTAACAGCACTTCTGCGTCCGACCTTGCCGGGACGGCACATTCCGCGGTCCATCTGGAAAGTCGCCACCTGCCGGCCAACTTCTCGCCTTTGGTCTTCTTCCTCCTCCTCTCCTTCATGATGGCCTGCTGCCTGGCCGCGTTCTTTGTCCTCCAGCGGCAGCCCAGACCCAGGGAATCTTCCGTAGAAGACCTCCTCACCTCCCAGGTCACCCTCCACTCCATCCGGCCACGGGAAGGGGAGGACCCGGGCCCCCCAGGGCCAAGGGACAACAGCAGCAAGGCCCAGGGGCATCCAGAGGAGAAAACGGCCCCCCACCACCCCGCCCACCTGACCTTCATCTACATCCTGGTGGCCTTTGTAAACGCGCTCACCAACGGCGTGCTGCCCTCCGTGCAGACCTACTCCTGCCTGTCCTACGGCCCCATCGCCTACCACCTGTCCGCCACCCTCAGCTCCATGGCCAACCCTCTTGCCTGCTTCCTCTCCATGTTCCTGCCTCACAGGTCCGTCCCACCTGGCCCTGGGGAACTCTTGTTGGGGCAGATTTCGTTCCAGAAGTCAGCATTCCAAACCCCACCTATCAGGCTCTACGTGTAGTGGCTAAGAACACGGTTTCTAGGGCTTGACTGCCTGGGTTCAGATCCCAGCTCCGTCACGTCCTAGCTTCTGTGATCCTGGATAAGTCACTCCGCTTCCCTGTGCCTCAAGGGTACTTATCTGGAAAATGGGGGTGATAATAGTTCTACCTCCTAGGGTGGCCGGGAGCATAAGACAAGCTAACTTTGTAAAGATTTTAGAGCAGTGCCTGCACGTGGCAGGTCCAATGTGAGTGCTGACTTGCCTTGACATTGGCCCTTGAGAAGGAATGGGCAGGCGGGAGCTGAGGTTCCCATGTACAAATAGAAGCCCCGGGGCTCAGAGAGAGGGTCTAATTCCCAGGATTTCAGCCCTGTTCTCCTGCCTCCAGCTCCTGCTGGCTCCTTTACAGCTGCAGTTCTGGAAGAATGGCTAGGCAAATTGATAAAATGCAGATTAAGCCAGTCTAGATTGGGGCCTGAGATTGCCAAATTTAGTCCAGCAACCTCGGTGGTTCCACCGTGGGGGGTTCAGACGCCGGTAGGAGACACAGGCTTTGGAGTCAGGGAACTTCAGGGCCCCACAACCTCCCACCCACCACTCCGCCCCGCCCATCCTGGGGTCCTCTCCGACCTGCTCACACCCACCTCCCTCCGCCCAGGAAGAAGGGAGAATGGGAATAGCGACAGAAAATTAGGTCAGATTGCCAGAGAGCTGAGTGTCCTCCCTTAGGGCTTACAACCGTGGCGGGAGACTGGAGCTTTCTGATGAACCAGAAGCCACAGATCTGCGGGATGAGAGACACCCAGAATGTTAGAAATACCGAATCTGAAAGCCAGGGGCTCCAAGAATCTTCCAGCAGAAAGTGTCCTCAGAGGCAGGGGCACACCCTCCGCTCTCACTCAGGACCACAGACGGGTCTTGGTGTCGTGAAGAGCGTAGGCAGGGAGGTCGCAGGGGTGACGACCTCAAGCGGAGGACGGTGTCCTCAGTTGTCACACCCGGAGCCTACCTGGAAGGCCACCAGGGCCTCTAGATCAGGCCAACCTCACGCTGTAGACCAGGGTAGATGAAGCCGGAAGGGAAGGGGTCAGCTGAGGTCTCACAACACCCCCCTGCTGTGCCAGTGCTGTGATCAAAGCCACCTTCTAGTCGGCCGCCCGGCTTCCTGGCCGAGGTTGGGAATGTTGCAGGAGGAAATGACAGCAGATAAAATAAGATAAAATACCGGGCGGGGCCCAGGGCCAGGCC